ATGACCTGAGCCGAAGGCAGATGCCTAATGACTGAGCCACCCAGGCGCCCCTGTGATGGCGTATTTTTAAATAGTCTCTGAACACCCGCTGCTGTGTTGCAATCACACATTTATGCATCTGGACCCAGTCTTGGCGTCAGTGCTTACCGGTCACCAACAACTCTGGCCTTGTTGAAAGTCGTTTGCAGAGGAGGGAGTTGGGGAGCCAGCCTCTCGTCCCTGCACTTCCCCCTTCCTCGTGTCCTTCCCCAGAGTCAGGGCTCTCCCATCACGGGAGCATGCCAGGCTGAGCCCTGCACAGCAGGCCTTCCTCTCACTGTCTCGAGTCCCCCTCGCCCGTCAGCAGTCATGTGGCCTCGTCCGTGGGTGTGTCTGGCACACATTCCCGATGGGGCCGCCTCCTCCCAACGAAGTCAGCAGGCACTTCACCAGCATTTCTCTGCTTACAGGTTGCTGGCATGGAGCCCAGGATGAGGAGGCCCCTTCAGAGCAAGATGTTTCTGTAGGAGGGTCACAGGTCAGGACCCCAAAGCCAGGCGCATCCATCCAGAAGTCCCAGCCCTGTGAGACGTGTAGCTTGCTCTTGAAAGACCTTTTGCACTTGGCTGAGCATGATGGAACACACCCTGAGCGAGGCTTGCACACTTGTGGGGGAAAGCATTTCCAGCACCAAAAGCATCAAATTAGAGAGAAACTTTTCAGAAGTGATGAGGGGAGGCCTTCATTTGTGAAGAGCTGCAGAGGTCACATGACAGAGACGACCTTTACATGCAGGGAAGGTGGGAAGGACTGCCCAGCCAGCTCAGGCCTTCTCCAACCACAGGTTCCTCATGTTGTAGGAAAGCCACACTGGGACATGGCAGGTGGAGAGGCCTTTCAGAATGAACAGAATTATTATAAGTGTACCCAATGTGGGAAAACCTGCAGTCATAAACATATACTTGTTGACCATGAGAAAATCCACACTGGAGAAAAGCTTTATGAGTACAGGGAATGTGGGAAGGCCTTCCTTAGAAAGTCCCACCTCCATCAGCACCAAAAGGGCCATGATGAAGATCAGCTTTATGAGAACCCAGAACGTGGAGGATTCTTTACACAGGTACCTGGCCTCAGTGACCACCAGGGTATTCACAGCAGGCCAAGGCCTTTTGAGTGCAACCAATGTGGGAAGGGTTTCCTTAGACTCTCCCAACTTGTTGGTCACCAGAAAATCCACACAGGAGAAAGACCTTATGGTTGTAGTGAATGTGGAAATTTTTTTAGGAATCGCTCTACGCTCATTAGACATCAGAGAGTTCACACTGGCGAAAGGCCATATGCGTGCAGTGAATGTGGAAAAGCTTTCACCCGCAAACATAAACTTGTTGAGCATCAGAAAATCCACAGTGGTGAAAAGCCTTATGAGTGCAGTGAATGTGGGAAAGCCTTCAGCCGCAAAGACAAAGTTGTTGAACACCAGAAAATCCACACTGGAGAGAGGCCTTATAAGTGCAGTGAATGTGGAAAAGCTTTCAGCCGCAAACATAAACTTGTTGAGCACCAGAAAATCCACACTGGAGTAAGGGCTTATGAGTGCAGAGAATGTGGGAAATCCTTTATGGACAGCTCTTCACTCATTATTCATCAGAGAGTTCACACTGGAGAAAGGCCTTATGAGTGTGACAAATGTGGGAAATTCTTTAGGTACCGCTTCACGCTCATTAGACACCAGAGAACTCACACTGGAGAAAGGCCTGATGAGTGCAGCAATGTAGGAAATCCTTTAGTTGCAACTCCACACTCATTAGACGTCAGACAAATCACAGTAGAGAAAGGCCTTATTACTGCAGCAAATGTGGGAAGTTTTTGTGGTACAACTCCGGTCTCATTACACAACAGAGAGTTCACACTGATGTGAGAGTCCTTATGAGAACAGCGAGTATGGGGACATCTTTACTTACAACTCTGGCCTCGTTAAACACTGTCAAATTTGCAACAATAGAGAGATGCCTTATGAGTGCAGTGAATGTGGGAGAGTCTGTTGATTTATGTCATTTTACACTAATTTGCATTTTTTTAGTATTTATACTTAGAATCCTACAGTCTACTTTTGCATGGCTGCTTTTTATTCTGTTTTTACATAAATGGAATCCTAAAGTATATCCTTGCATAGCTATTTTGAGATTTATCCCTATTGTGTTCATTCCTTTTTATTGCTGAGTGGTATTCCATTGGGTGTATATATATATATTTTTTTTAAAGATTTTATTTATTTATTCATGAGAGACAGAGAGAGAGAGAGAG